GGATGCCAGGGACAATGGGGGAGGAAGATGGGACATAGCAGAGGGTGGGGGATGGGGAATCAGGGATGGCAAGACAAAGGGCAAGGTATGCAGGACGTAAGAATTGGAAAATTATTTGCTGAGAACATGTATGTGGATGTGCTTGATTGAGCCAATGCACAGTGTATTTTGGATGGAAAATTCATTTGTGTGTTGTGATGGTGTAAAGTGAATTTAAAAAAAAAAAGATTACAGTTGTTTTGCTATGTTGCCCTGAGAAAAAGGGAAATGGATTGTTATTCAGAGGGAGTCAATGTAATGTGACATCATCAATGTTTATTTACATTATAGCAACCACCCAAGTGAACACCCAACAAGGAGTCGTTTGAAAGAAAGCATGAGGCTGAGATGGATACTGAACTTGAGCTGCGAAATATTGCTTTCATTGACTAAAAATGACGGTTTTCTGCTGAGACTTCTCTCTCCAGATTCATTTCTAGTGCCCTCCATGCACTGAGTGTCTAGACGGGTCCAAGTGAACAGTATCCAAGCATCTGAATATGATTAGAGTCAGAATATTCCTCAATTCCCACTAAATCTGATGCACAAAGAGTAAAAAACAGAATGGAAGAGAGATCACAGATGACTTCCCTCCTGCACACCTCTGAACGCTCAGGTTGAACTTCAAGAATTAAGAAGAAACGCACCATCCATCAGATGACTAGAAATCATCACAGGGTCACAAGAAACATGGGAAAGCAAAAAAATGTCTCTCCTCCCAGGAAAAAGAATAACTCCTCTTCATCCTCAGACAATGAAAATCATGGTTATGTCAGATAAAGAATTTAGAATATTCATAGTGACAAAGCTAACAGAAATGGAAGAGAAAAGAGACAATGAACTGGAGAAGAAGCAGGAGAAAAGAGCTAATGAGTTCCAGGAGGTGAGGAAATTCTTACAAGATCTAAAAGAGGAAATACACACCATAAAAAATAATCAAAGGGACCTGTTAGAAGTGAAGGCTATAATACAGGAAGTTGAAATCTCCTTGAAAGTATTAAAAGCAGACTAGATCATACAGAAAATGGAATCTCAGATGTAGAAGATAGAATCGCTGGCCTAGAGAAGTCTACCATGAAGACTGAGAAAATTGCCTCCAAAAATGAGAATAGTATATGAGAAATACTAGATACCATCAAAAGTCCAAACATCCAGATAATAGGTATCCCAGAAGGCGAAGAGACTCATAAGGGCATTGATAATCTATTCCATGAAATCCCAGAAGAAAACTTTCCAAACCTAGAGAGGCATTCAAAGATCCAGTCCCAAGAAATACAAAGGACCCCATATAGAATCAACCCAAGAAGGTCTTCTCCAAGACACATTATAGCCAGACTGATCAAAACCAAAGACACAGACAAGATACTAAGATTGCCAAGAGAAAAATGTCAAGTTACCTACAAAGCATATCCCACCAGGTCAACAACAGACCTCTCATCAGAAACAATGTGAGCGAGGAAAGAATGGGAAAATATATTCAAAGCGTTAAGGGAAAAGCGAGTTTAACCAAGAATATTGTACCCGTCAAGATCATCCTTCATATGGGAAGAAAAGACAAGAACATTCTCAGATTAATAAAATCTGAAAGAATTTACCAACACCAGATCAGATCTCCAGGAAGTTCTGAAGGGAGTGCTATACCAGGAAAATTAAATATAGACACAAAGAAATAAGAGTTCAAAAACTAAGAAAATGGCCAACTTAATGCTAGAGACAAGACTGGAGTTGAATAATATATCCCAGAATTTAATCGGAAAGACCAGACCACAACAGAAGATAGATCAAGTACATGAGAGTGAACTGATGAAACAGAATCTTACAACTTTTGACTAAAACATTGATGATTTTCTTCAAGGCTTTTTTTTCTGGTTTTAAGGATTTTTGTCCTGTCTTGAGCTGCCGATAGGCTAGAGACAAGACTGGAGTTGAATAATATATCCCAGAATTTAATCGGAAAGACCAGACCACAACAGAAGATAGATCAAGTACATGAGAGTGAACTGATGAAACAGAATCTTACAACTTTTGACTAAAACATTGATGATTTTCTTCAAGGCTTTTTTTTCTGGTTTTAAGGATTTTTGTCCTGTCTTGAGCTGCCGATAGGTTCATGTATCTACTATTTGAACAGAATCCTAACCTGTTTCCTGGCTTTAAGTTTTA